CTTTAATCATATAAAAGAGACATTTGACATGAAAATGTGAACGCATCATAAGATACACATATTACAGTCAGATATATATAGATACAGAGAGAGGTACCAGAAGAGAAGAATCCTAAGTAAGCAAAGACATCAAACAAATTAAAGCAAAGAAGATTACTCGGCATAAGTCTAAAACTATGTTTGATCTTAATGTTTATTATATTAACCCACAAGCAGCCTAAATTTGCAATAAAAAATGCCTTGAAAATAATGAAACTTCACAATCACGTGATCAAGGGATAGATGGTTGATCATTGAAACCTGAAACTGTGCATATCTATAAATCTCAATCTCCATTAACTCCCTCAACTAGTGATCTCTTTCTGAGTTCAATCACAAATAACAAAACTGAACTTCAATCTATCAGTTAACTAGATTATATATGATTTGTCCTATTTATTCTGCAACACGAACCCGATCCTATTTTCAAGTTAACAATCAGAAATAACTTGCGACATAAAGAACTTCTACTCTACATCCTAAACTCTGGGGGTCTGCCAGAAGAATCATATTCTTTCATTCGGTTATGTTAAGGTTCATCTCCCCCCTTAACTATTAGGATATCATTCTCAATTGCTTCCATCCAAAATTATGCGGAGCAAGGTACAAAAAATGAAACGGCCCACACTGTTCATTTCGATCTATGCAAATCAATTGCGTCTCTCTATGAAAACAGAAAGAAACTCTTATGCATAAACAGCGATGAACTCGAAACGACACACATGAGCCAGATTGCCCCAAAAGAGGAAGCTATGAGAAGATATATAGATCAATCATGTGCCTTAAATTTTGCAAATGTTAGGTTTCAAAAAGACTACCAACCTCCCAATCCTAACATTTGCCCCCTATTTCTTTCTTGTTAGGGAGCATCTAGCTGGCTGGGATCCAAACCTACACATGGTTTTTTTGTTAGTTAGGCATAGTTAGCTATTTTCAAATTGGACTTTGGAATCCAATGTGGAATTTGATTGTAGCTTCTTCTGAAGGTGCAAGTATAAACAAAAGAATAGAAGCTTCGTTTACTTTAGTTTATAGGCTTTATGTATCTGTGATTCCATGCAAAACTAGCTACTTTCTTCATAGGTCTAATGCTTGGTGGTTGCTCGGTAAGCCTGCAAACGGACCACTTGGATTCCTTTCTTTCTTGATTTTAGCTATTTGTATCGGAGTTAATACCCTGTTGAGATCTTTTGGATGAAGTTTGATTCATGTACTCTTAGTTTCAGCCATAGAGATGTAAATTATGGAGTTAAATATGCAATAGAAACTTACATGGCGATCTTTGAACTTTTATAAATGCCAAAGTCCCCGCAACTATGCCGAAAACTCTGAAGTTATGATGAGGATTGGGGGTTATAATTTTATACCCTAACATGCTCTAAAAGGTTGGAAGCTTTTTATGAGCAAAAACTTGGATTCACGCAACAGTACCAATTTTTTTTGAAAACCGCTTAGAAATTCCCCGGACAGCAAAATTTGAACCTGGGCTGCTCCGATACTATATTGAAGTCTCCATCACTGCACTAAAACTCCAAAGTTGTGGTAATGAGTGAAGGTTATAATTTTATACTGTAACAATAAACTTAGAGAGACAAAAACTATGTATAGTCCTAAACTAATTCACTCTTCTGCTGCCCAAATTTATCGTCAAATAAATTTGTGCTAAAAATGCCTTCTAAATTAGGGGTGCATTCGGTGCGGATACGACTTGGATATGATGCTTACCATATCCATATCCACTTATCCATCTCGGATATGGATACAGATACGGATATATCTCGGTAAGAAAATTTTATAACCATATCTGCTAAAATCGGATACAGTTACGGATATACATGCGGATATATAAGCGGATATACATGCAGATACAAAAACGATATGACAAAACTTGATAGTATTGAGAAAAACATAGTTCATGTGATACAAAAGAGTTCGTTAATAAGTCCATTATAACTGAAAAGTTAAGATTAAACATCTTGATCATCAAAATTAACCACAAATCCATAATCTAAGAATCGAGACTATCATAAGAGTATGACTGATATGTATTCGGATATTTCGGATACGGATACAGATATTTTACTACAAAACCATATCCGTAACCATATCCTATTGGTTATACATTTGAGTAATCATATTCGTATCCAAACAGTACGGTTACGGATATTTTCTCGGATACGGATACGGTTTAGCACCCCTTCGGATACGGATACGGTTTAGCACCCCTACTTCTAATGGCGTTACAACAAGAGCCTTCCAAATTTATTTTCAGTTCTATTTGGGCAAGAAGCATGCATCTTGATTCTTATGTATAGCGTAAGGAATTAATTAAAACAAATAAATTGCAGATTTATTCAGATAAAAATTCAAAAGAAATGCACCTGGTGATCAGAAATGCTACTATCTTCATGGTTATCGTACACACCATTGTGGCAAATGAGCAAACAGGTGGTGGGCAAATAATTTACCTCCTGCTTGAACGAAGAGACGCAGTCAGCAGTCCAGCAAATACAAATGCGTCATAGTTCAACAAGTGATTAAATCCTTCTATATTCTTTGCAACATAAAAAGATAAAAGGGGGGAAAAAAGAAAGAAAAACTAGTGAATTAAGATTCAGAAAATATTGACAATAGATATGCATCATAGGCTCATAGCAATCGAAGCGGCAAGAATTGGAGCTCGCCGCAAATATAAGAAAGTGGGCCGCAACAAAATGGTTCTGTCTACGCAAAACATATCGACAACGAGGCAGCCCATCAAAGTTAGTGGGCCTATAATTTTTCTAGCAAAGGAAAGTTGTTGTAATAAAATAAGGCCCTCTTTCTTAGATTTCACAAGCCTTTTGAACTTTGGGGTGATTTCCACAAAACAACTATAAAGTCTAAAAATTAGAAGGACGTGCCTAAACTTGAGGAGTTACCGCGAAAACCCCTCTCAACTTTTGGCGGAATTTCACCTACTCAAGTATTAATTTTTTTTAAAAAAATATATAGCCTTCTTCTCCGCATTGTTTTCTATTAATTATATAGTTTCTTAGTTGACCATCTCATCAAAGAATATGAATTCTATCAGAACATCCTTTGTGAACGCATCTGACCTTTAGAATACTCATCGAAAATACACAGGTGAACCTAAAGTCTATTTCTTTTTTTCCCTTCTCGATATTACTCGCTAGATTCAGTTGGTAATCGTAGAGTTAGCAAAACTCTTCAAATCTTTCGTTAAAACGGTAGTATGGTTCATTAAATCTTGCATCACCTCATTGGACTCCTTTTGTAACTAATCACGTGTTAAACTCTAACGATTCCAGACGCATTTGAAACTTATGAGTATATATATTCATCTGACTACAGACTTTTCTTCTTTATTTTTATTTTTTTTCTGTCTCGTTCGTTTTTCAAAAATTAGCAGACAAAGTCCCATTCTTTCTTCCTCAATTATCGCGCACGTATCCAAAAACCTTTTCGGGCTTTTTCTCCATCAGTGGGCCCTACGTATCCACTATCCACTAGCTTTTATTTAACGGCAAAAGGAGGCAAAACTTATTAACTGCCTTTTTTGCACAGCTTTCCTCCGCAATTTCCCCTGTTTTCGGAAATAGATGCCCCTTGCACGCTTCGCTTCACCCGGCCCAGCTCCTCTCAAGCCCATCTGGGCCCCCACACGAGTGGGTCTATTATTGGTGACGTTTGACCAGAAGACTCCGTGTGTAGATACAACGTCTTCAGACCAACATCGGTCACAGTGCTGCGGGTGGCAAACGGGTCGACCCGACCCGACCCGACCCGACCCATATAAAATTTGACCCGACCCATATAAGTATGACCCGACCCAACCCGTTTAATAAATGGGTTACCCGATCCGACCCATATAACCCGAATGACCCATTTATCAAACTTCTAACAATTGACTTAAACTGTTCAAATTTTCCAAACACTAACATCCACACATTACCTCCACAGTTCACACAACACTGATAACCATGAAGGAACAGCAAATATGCACATTTATGGACTTGTCGAGTACCAATAACAAAATTAAACTTTCAAACCAAAAACTCTCATAGATTTCAGTAATGCTGAAAACCATCAGAGCGTTCTATATAAAAAACTCAAAACAATCCAACAATCATATATACCTACAGAAACTTAGCTTACTCTCAATGAAAACAAGTACTCACTCTAAATATCCTCTTAACACTTCCCTCAACAAATCTAAAATACCAATCAACATAGCAGAATCCTGAGAATTGTGAGGCAAGAGTACAATCTTCAACCAGGTAAACGATTATGCGAGTACCATAATTGGACATGTCCAAAAACTGATAAGACCTAATACATATTGTTGCAGTCTTCAAACACGGGACCAGGAAATTCTGTTATCATCATGGCATCTTAGACAAACTCATTGAAAAGAGACGCTCATCGACGTTTTCCTACTTATATTAATGCAGTTCTATCCGAGGAAATTCATGATCACAAGGTGGGGAACCAGACTGCAGAGGACAAAATCAGCAAAAGCTCGCTCCGGCGGCAAGTCCTGCAACGAGAGGGTGGATTTGTTAATAAAAGGAAGTGCAGCTCACAGGCAATATGATGCTTTCTGGATAAGATGATTTTGTACAAAATTACCTATGGACTTCTCTCGCTAATGTTTAAGCTCGTCTTGTGCATATGAAAATTGATAAATTAAGTTTACTACATACAAACACAAAGCTCATTTTAAGAATTCACCTTCATGAATATCAAGATGAAGTTTTTTCATCTGGTCGGGATGTACAGCTCACATATGAATAGCATAAACTTCAGAGCAAGTCTATCAAGATACGACATAAGAATCTAACAGCTAGTAGGTTCTTACCTTCAGCTACCACATCATAGTATGACAGCTACCACATCATAGTATGAGAGATTCATACTTGTGTTGGCATAGATTCTCCAATATCTAATTGCATGATATCCTCGGAAAGCTCATCTAATTTCGGTTGCATGTCATCTATCATTAATAAAAAAATAAAAAACCAATAAGCAAATTCATAACATGTATTCTGATGCAAAAAACGTAAAAAATATAACATTAGTAATTGTCTACCTTTGATACCATATAACCAATCACGCGTGCAAACTAAAGCCTCCACATTGCTAGGCTTAAGAGTGCTACGGTATTGGTTAAGGATTCTCCCACCTACACTGAAAGTACTCTCCGAAGCAACCGTAGAAATAGGAACCGCCATTATGTCCCTTGCCAATAGAGAGAGCTCGGGGTATCTATGCTCATTAGTCTTCCAAAATGAAAGAATGTCGAGTTGAGCACCACGGTCAAGTCTTGGTTCATCCAAATAAAGTTCTAATTGGGTCTTTTGAGAACTAATAATTTCTTGGCTTTCAAACGAGTCGAATTCCTAAATAAAAAAAGATACGTAAAGTACATTTGAACAAATGCCAAGCAAATCTTAGGGAAACAAAAGCTTAATTAAATGTTAGTAGGAAAAGTAGCTACTAAAGCAAATTAATTTAATATTAGACCCTGACATCTTTAGTATCTTAAAATAAGTCCCTCTATTCACTTGTGCCTTTACTCTGTAGACTTAAAATAAGTCCCTCTATTCACTTGTGCCTCTATTCACTTGTGCCTTTACTCTGTAGACCAAATCCTAATTTCCTGACATCTTTAGTATCTTAAAATAAGTAATTACCACATTCATCATAATCAGTTTGTATGTGTTCGCGGGAAAAATCAAAAGGCATGGAATGGATAATCATTTATAACTGTAAAATGTTTACAAAAGAACACAAGAAAACAAACAAACATTTCCGAAAGGTATTTACAATGTGATTGTAAGACATCTACAAAAAGAAAGATTACAACTTTTTCTCTTGTTTGTCGAACGAATTACGAGCTCCTGTTTTGCGGTCGCTCGCTTTGTGGGTTCTTTGCCTGCGCCGGGGTTGTTTGCCGTGGACCACCGCGCGATCTAGATCCGGTCAGATCTGAGCAGTACGACGGGTATTATTCCACGAAGGAAATAATAGCCGGGGAGGATTGATTCACCAAGGAAACAATCGTCCAAGTCTCGGGATCTAAGACCAAGCTTAGATCCGGAGTTCGTACGCGTAGATCTGAGATCCGGTCCTCTCGAACACCTGCCTTATTTGGCGTTGACGGTCGCCGAGCACCAGATCTGAATGAGCAAGTCCTCGAAGTCCCAAAGTTGAGATCTTTTTTAGATCTGAGTCTCCAATCCAGCAGGGCTTCGCCTCTCCAAAATCTTAACCTTCTCGGCCTTATCCCATTCTTCTTGAGATGGACAAAATCTTGAGTAGTTGGAATCACTCAATTGCATGTGTATAAATGCACGACGATAGTATAAAGCACTCTCAAGCATTAGAAAAGTAGCATTCCATCTTGTTGGAACATCTTGCCTTAAACTCTTTTTCACTTCCAAAGATTCATGAGAGACACATTCCCAAAATTTTTGTTTTCTAATTTGAGAGCCTTTTATATACTTGACGCTTTCTCGAATTTTATTGATACAACCATGGACTTCTTTTAAACCATCTTGGACAATCAAGTTGAGGATATGAGTACAACATCTAATATGAAAAAATTCTCCCTTCCCAAGAAGTGCTTCTTTCAAATTAAGTTGTTTTTTCAATAAATCAACAAAAACATCATTTGTGGATGCATTATCAAGAGTGAAAGAAAACAACTTCTTTTCAATTTTCCAATCAACTAACAACTTATAGATCTTCTCACAAATGGCAACACCGGAATGAGGAGGTGGCATATAAGAAAAGTTAAGAACCCGATTTTGTAATTTCCACTCATGATCAATGTAGTGTGCCGTGAGACAAATATATCCGTCGGTGGCTATTGATGTCCATAAATCGGAAGTCAAGTTAATTCTACCCGGAATCGATTCAAAAGCTTCTTTTAGCGTATTTTTCTCTCTTCCATAGATTTTAAGAACATCGGATTTAACCGTATTTCTTGATATGTGTTTTATATCCTCACAAAGATAAGAGAAGATTGCTCGAATACCCTCATACTCAACAAATTGAAATGGCAAATCGTGCATAATGATGGCCGAGACTAAGAGCTCCATAAACTTATCCGGGTCAAAATTAAATCTTGAGGAACTCATTATAGAATCTTTTGAGTTAGATAGACCCTCAATATCTTCTCTAGTAGCTTTCTTACAAATTTTCATGTGTCTTAACATGTTCTTTGTCCCGTGGTTACCTTCGGCAACATATTTGATTCCACACTTCTTACATATTGAATATTGTTTCCCACCTGGCTCTTGAACAAGGTCAAACATTTTCCAAGCTTTGGACGTTAATTTTCTTTTTCGACTTCCAACAATTATCGCTTTGGATTTTTTCTGAACAGGACTAGACATGTCTTCTAATTCTTCATTAGATGAATCTGCTTCTACATTATCCGCTATAGAATTATGGGTAGAATTAGACTCCATTAACTGTGATGAAAATTACAGAACTACATAAGATTCATAAAATTAAATAAAATTCAACAGATAACATAAAGTAACTGATTCTAAACAGAATTTATTGCCCCGCTGGATCTTCATCAAAGCTCATATTAAAAGTATGCAAGAACTGTGAAATGAGAGATGCGTACACCACACATGCACAAAAAACACAAAAGAAACATCGCCCACACACAGATCATTTTTTGGCATCCCCTGGTCTATCTAATCCCTCGTGCGCAATTCTGGCAGATATGAAAATAGATTAATTATACAATGCATATAGTTTTCATAATAAAGACTCTGATCACTTTTAACATATTATTACTCTCATTTTCATTCAAAATAGATTAACATATTATTACTCCTATTTTTATTCAAAACAGATAGACATTGTCATCCATAGATTTTTTTTAAATAAACCATCTCACATTCTACACTTTTGTACTGCTATTTAAATCAAAACTCTAGTTATTACAATTCACATGAAAGAGGAAGAAAAATGAAAGGGGAGGGATTTCGCAAAATATGATAAATTTTGTCAACAACTTAACATTTTCCTCCCATAAAAAGGACTGCTCAGTGTTTAATTACCAACGCAAATTACAGAACATTTGACTGAATAAACCGGCTCCTAAGAAAACAATCACAAGAGTAAAAAACCCCCAAAATTGATAGAAATCAGGATAAAAAACCCCCGAAAATTGATAGAACGCAAGATCAAAAAGCCCTAGCTAAGAGTGTACCTCAAAATCCAGTGATTAGCTCGATTGAAGATCTGATTCTTCTGTTGATCAAGAGGAACTGGGCTATGGCTGCTCGATGGAGAGAGAGAGGAGGAACTATGGCTGCTCGATGGAGAGAGAACTTAGCTTCGAGGATCGATGCCGCTCGCCGCTCGCCGAGGATCGCTGTCGCTCACCGATGAAGAGAGAACTTAGCTTCGAGGATCGCTGCAGCTCGCCGCCCCTTGCCGCTCGAGAGGAGAGAGAGAAATCTAGGGCTTCGTTTAAGAGAGACGAAGAGTTAGTCGGGTCAGCAGAGGTTCACTTGGGTAAATTCGGGTTAGATGATGGGTTAGACGGGTCAGTAGATCAACCCATAGGGTAAACTCGGGTTGACCCATTTATGACCCAACCCATATAACTTGACCCATACCCAATATAAATGGGTCGGGTCGGGTCGGGTTGATGGGTCGGGTCATAAATTGCCACCCCTAAGTGCAGGTCGATATCGGACCGACATCAACCGGCGTTGGTCAGGGTCTCTGTATCCAATTTGAGAATTCAAGATTAGGGGTGGCAATTTATATACATGCAATTGAGTGATTCCAACTACTCAAGATTTTGTCCATCTCAAGAAGAATGGGATAAGGTCGAGAAGGTTAAGAGGTTGTTAGCCACTTTCTATAACGTCACTTGTCTTTTCTCCGGTACAAATTATCCAACGGCTAATCTCTACTTTCTTCAAGTATTTGTTGTGCAACGTACTTTAAAGAGTGGGATGAAAGATGATGATGAATATGTTAAGTTAATAGCAACCAAAATGTACAAGAAATTTGAAAAATATTGGAGTGAGTACAATGTTCTACTTGCTATTGCATGCATCTTGGATCCCCGATACAAAATGCAATTTGTAGAGTTTTGCTATCATGGGATATATGGACACAATTCTACGGAGCTTAGGAATGTGAAAGACAAGCTTTTCTCTCTCTTTAATGAGTACTCGAGCAATATGGATGGTGATAGAAGAAGAAACTTGGAGAAATCAAGCAAGGAGGGAACTTCTCGTGTGTATGATGACACATTTGATCAAGATTGCATTGATATCTTGAGGGTAATTTCTTTCTCAAGTAATTAGTATATCTCTTAGTTTTTATTATTTTGCATGTATTTATATCTTGTATGTGTATAATTTCTTGCAACTTCCATATTGTGTTATATCTCTTAGTTTTTATTGTTTTTGCATTGATTTCTTTTATTCCTAAAATTTTCCAAGTATAACTCCAGGGATCTTCCTTTCAGCTCTAGTATTCTACTGGTTCAATCATGAAATTATCAGTCGAGATATGTGATGAAATACTATGTGTCGTAACTTAACTGTGACCATATATTGAGTATGCTATTAGCTGGTATCTGATAAAACAACATATTATCTGGGAAATATGGTAATTCCAAAATTTTCTGCATGTATTTAGATCTAGTAGTTTTTTTGGGGGGGATTCTATCTACCAAATTGGTTACTGTTGGTTTCTGAAGCTACTTTGTCATCCCACAACTTGCAGACCTTAAGACTCATCCCACAACTTGCATTAGAAAACAAGTGTTTTATGTCACAGTTCTCATTTTTTGTTAGACAAAACACGGTTCTCTTCAAATGTTTTCAGATGTTATTTTTGCATGATATATAAATGATCTCAGATGTTATTTTTGCACCTTCATCCCTATTTTCCATGTTTTCTACAGATATATGTGCACACAGATAAGGTTACCTTTTATATGTTTTGCACCTTCACTTATATCATGGAAGAATTGTTAATCACAGAGAATATTATCATGATATCATCCTTTTGTATGTTTTTATATTTAGGAATTCGACTCATTTGAAAGTCAAGAAATTATTAGTTCTCAAAAGACCCAATTAGAACTTTATTTGGATGAACCAAGACTTGACCGTGGTGCTCAACTCGACATTCTTTCATTTTGGAAGACTAATGAGCATAGATACCCCGAGCTCTCTTTATTGGCAAGGGACATAATGGCGGTTCCTATCTCTACAGTTGCTTCGGAGAGTACTTTCAGTGTAGGTGGGAGAATCCTTAACCAATACCGTAACACTCTTAAGCCTAGCAATGTGGAGGCTTTAGTTTGCACGCGTGATTGGTTATATGGTATCAAAGGTAGACAATTACTAATGTTATATTTTTTACGTTTTTTGCATCAGAATACATGTTATGAATTTGCTTATTGGTTTTTTATTTTTTTATTAATGATAGATGACATGCAACCGAAATTAGATGAGCTTTCCGAGGATATCATGCAATTAGATATTGGAGAATCTATGCCAACACAAGTATGAATCTCTCATACTATGATGTGGTAGCTGTCATACTATGATGTGGTAGCTAAAGGTAAGAACCTACTACCTGTTAGATTCTTATGTCGTATCTTGATAGACTTGCTCTGAAGTTTATGCTATTCATATGTGAGCTGTGCATCCCGACCAGATGAAAAAACTTCATCTTGATATTCATGAAGGTGAATTCTTAAAATGAGATTTGTGTTTGTATGTAGTAAACTTAATTTATCAATTTTCATATGCACAAGACGAGCTTAAACATTAGCGAGAGAAGTCCATAGGCCAAAAATGGAGAATGATTCTAGGTCCATATGCTTTTATGATCTCTGTGTCTATTTTTTTGCCCCTATTTTTGTTGTAATTAGAGAAGTATAGCAGACAATTTCTATAATAGCTCAATCAGGGGGGAACTAAGATCTGATAATCTGAAAAAGTTTCTTCTTTAATAACGCATGTTTCTTTTTTAGCTTCTATGAACTTGCAGTTTGTCTTCGCATCCAAGTTAACAAAAAACAACAAGGAATTCAAGGTAATTTTGTACAAAATCATCTTATCCAGAAAGCATCATATTGCCTGTGAGCTGCACTTCCTTTTATTAACAAATCCACCCTCTCGTTGCAGGACTTGCCGCCGGAGCGAGCTTTTGCTGATTTTGTCCTCTGCAGTCTGGTTCCCCACCTTGTGATCATGAATTTCCTCGGATAGAACTGCATTAATATAAGTAGGAAAACGTCGATGAGCGTCTCTTTTCAATGAGTTTGTATAAGATGCCATGATGATAACAGAACTTCCTGGTCCCGTGTTTGAAGACTGCAACAATATGTATTAGGTCTTATCAGTTTTTGGACATGTCCAATTATGGTACTTGCATAATCGTTTACCTGGTTGAAGATTGTACTCTTGCCTCACAATTCTCAGGATTCTGCTATGTTGATTGGTATTTTAGATTTGTTGAGGGAAGTGTTAAGAGGATATTTAGAGTGAGTACTTGTTTTCATTGAGAGTAAGCTAAGTTTCTGTAGGTATATATGATTGTTGGATTGTTTTGAGCTTTTTATATAGAACGCTCTGATGGTTTTCAGCATTACTGAAATCTATGAGAGTTTTTGGTTTGAAAGTTTAATTTTGTTATTGGTACTCGACAAGTCCATAAATGTGCATATTTGCTGTTCCTTCATGGTTATCAGTGTTGTGTGAACTGTGGAGGTAATGTGTGGATGTTAGTGTTTGGAAAATTTGAACTGTTTAAGTCAATTGTTAGAAGTTTGATAAATGGGTCATTCGGGTTATATGGGTCGGGTCGGGTAACCCATTTATTAAACGGGTTGGGTCGGGTCATACTTATATGGGTCGGATCAAATTTTATATGGGTCAGGTCGGGTCGGGTCGACCCGTTTGCCACCCCTGAATCAAGATATTGATTTTTGTTGATCTTTTTTTTTATTTTTTTTATTTTTGTAACTTAGCGATTGTGATATTGATTTCTGGATATGTATAGGTGTTTGTGATTGTTGATTCTTTTCTGTTATTTGGTGCTAGCTTTGTGATCTTGATTTCTACATCCAGAAGATTGTTTTTTTAGGGAAATAATTGTATGCCCGTAACAATTATAGTTAGTACGAGAACTAAAATAATTAAAATTAAATCCAATCTATTTAGATAATTCTGACTCTCTCATAAAATAATTAAAATTAAATCCTCTGAATTGCATGCATGCTTATTAGTCATTCAAAACAAATCACAATCATATATTAATTTGGAGGGAGGGGGGGACAGCCCTCATCCTTGTCTTCAAAAAAATAATAATAAATAAAAATAATATATATATATATATATATATATATATATATATATATATATAATTGAAAAAATAAAAATATATATAATTGAAAAAAATAAAATAATTGTATATTAATATAAAGGTAGAAGTCAATTACAATTGTTGAACCCCGTTTGGCAAAGGGTTAAGGAAGAGCTATTAAGAAGGAAGATTAACATAGTTAATCCATTTGATAATGCGAAGGACTAAATTATTACCATGTTAAATAGGTTTTATTTTAGCACTTGTGATCTATTTTAATGTTTGAAAATATCGAGGATTTGACTAATGTTTTTATTTATAAATAGACATGTTAACTCTTAATTTTTCCAAATATGAGTATTAATAAACCCCTTATTTTTTAAGGGATCAACTCATTTTATTCTCTCTAGAAGAGCTAGCTTGATTCTTTTATAATCTTTGCGTTTGATAAATCATAGAAGGCTAACTCACTTTAGCCATCATATAGATCTTTCATGTTTGATGTGCTAAGAAAATGTTAGGTCTCATTAACCACTCACTTTACCGGACGATAAAAAGTCACCGAAAAGATTACGTACTTCGTACACGAACCTACACGGAAAGACTTTAATCATTTACCATGATGCTTTCGTACTGTCTTCCTATTCCAACGCAATCTCAAAATTGTCCTCTTCTCAAAAAAATTTTAACCTCAAAAATTCCTCTTTTGCATCAACCTCCCCCCTACGTGACCTCTCCTCAAATCCTCCTTTTTAGGACTTACCCCATCATTCCCCCGCTCCGCAACCCACTTCCCTAAAAAGCCCCACTTAAAATCCCAACAAAATCCAGCTCACGATTCCTCAAACTCTGCTCCTTATACATCCCCATCCTCAACCCTCAAACAGAGCTCTGAACTCCCCCCCTCTGTTTCTAGACTTTTT